CATCCCCATTACTGCTTTGGAAAGACGAGAACCCATACGTCCTCTTTGCTTCTTTGCCCTGATTTCCTCGGGGGAACCCCAGCCAACAACTTCCTTATTCCGTATGAAAAGTGGGGGTGCTCCAGCATGCCAAAAGGAGTGAAGGTGGGACCCTACAGCGTAGCCCTGATATTGAGGCTCAACTCTTCCTCTGCCAAGGCCCCTTGGTACCTAAGGCCTTCATGGACAGCTCTTTCCTTCCCAGACTCCACCCTCCCACAGTCCTGCCTCACACTGGCCTGTAAGGAAGGTTCCCTGCTTCCTCTGGCTTACCCCTCACGTTAAAATCAACAGCCCAAAGCCAGGCTTAGCAATCCCAGCACTTGGAGGGAGGAAGATCAGGATTTCAAGATTATCCTCAGCCACAAAATTATTTCAGAGACCAGCCCGGGCAACAAACGAACAAAGAAATGATTAGCGGCCCAAGAGATGGCAAAATCTGCATGCTTTGAAAGCCCACCCTGAGGTAGGGTGGATGGGGGTGTGTGTGCCCAGTCCAGTGTCCCAGGGATGGGACTACGGTAGCTCCGGGTGGGCGACTTTTGAAACAAGCTGCCTCCACCAGGGCCGCATTCAGTTTGCTAGAAATAGAGACAGAGGGCTTCTTGACTTTGCATACAATTTGCATAATGCCATAGACACGTAATGTCATAGACACACTGTCTATTTTCAGGCAGTTTCCAGGTTCAAGTGCTGCCACCGCTGCCCTGAGGGGTGTTATGTGGAGTCGAGTTTCTTTTCTGTTCTTTCTCACCCACCCACTCTTACTGACCTACATCTCACTGCAGGAGCACACGGGGGGCGGGGGCGGGCCGTCCAGGGAGAAGCCAGAGCGCTTATCACCTCCATCACCCACAGCCCGGCTGGTTGCTCAAGGGCAACAGGGTTCAGGTACTCTGGCTCCTCTCCTGCCTCTGCTACCAGAACTGCCAGTCTGAATGTTCAGCCTTCTGACAGTGCGGGAGGAGGAGGAGGAGGAGGAGGAGGAGGAGGAGGAGGAGGAGGAGGAGGAGGAGACAGCAAGATAGATAAATAGATTAACCTGGGCTTGAGCCACCCAGAAAGCCTTGCTTGCCTCCAGATAATCATGTTAGGGCAACGAATCTAACCTTCAGCCAGCCACTCTCCTGGAAGACCCCTCTGAGCCGCCAGAGTCCTAATTTGATGATTTTTGTTTTTCAAGACAGAGTTTAGAACTTAACCTTTCCTCCCTATAGTGACCAGGATGGCCTCAAACTCTCCACCATCCTGCCTCAGCTCCCCAAGTACTAAGGTTACCAGCATGTCACCATGCCCAGGTGGTGACGGATCTCTCTAATGCATCTGATGTCTAGAAAGAAGTCAGTCCCTCCTCCCCTCCAGCAGCAAGTCTATGCTGAGCGAGCGCCTGCCTGTCCCCTGGCTGAGCCTGTCCCGTGGCTATACCCTTCACTAGCACCAACCTAAGAGCTCAGAGGCAAACACCCAAAAGGGCTGATTGGGACGAATGTCACCAAGCTACTCATGACCTTGGCTGGTGCTTGCCCCCCTCCTCCAGGAAGGAGGGAGACTGGCAGAGCTTAAGAAAAGACAATTCTCACTTTACAGTGACTTGTCCTTGGCCACTGAGGCTCTGGGCTGGAGCTCCTCTCAGGGCTCCCTCCTGTAGACACTCTAGCCTGGGGTCCCTGTTGGAATGTACATTTCAGCCTTCACTGGATACCAGGGCAATGAGTCTGGATCCTGGAAATCCCAAGGCAACTCAGCCAGACCGATCAGCAGCAAGGCACTACCCAGAATTCCTAGTCTTTGGCGTCCAATCCCCCTGGACCTGCCTCATCCCTTCAGGCAGGCGTTTCCTGTTGATAAGAAGCTCCCTTACAAACACTGATAAAGAGATGAAAAAGGAAATCGACAGGCTAGGGTATAACGGGTATTTGGTCTGCCTTTTTTACCCCTCTGCCACCCTCCCCCTCCAACTGATTCCCAGAACTAAGCAGAAAATAGGCCCCCACCTCCACACTGGGCCTTATTCTGGAGATTCCAGGAATTTGGCCTGAAGACTTACATAGTTCTCAGAAGCTGGCCCTGGCACAGCCTGTCCCGGGAGGGGAGCTTTGGAGGCAGGAAGCATTGGGTGCTGAGTCCCCAAGTCCAGGGGCAAGACAGAGGCACAGGAAGAATGGTCCCACAGGTCAGTCCATCTGGGCTCTTCCCTGCTTCCACCATCTCCCTCTTCCCAGAGGCCTGCCAGGATCCAAGTTGTGATTCGGTGGCTGGCTGGTCTATAATTAGTAGATTTTTCCATCTTTCTATTCTCAGGCTTATTGATGGAAAGTCTCATTAATTTTGACTCTCTTAATTTGGAACCTATGATCCTTCAGGACAAAACATGTGGCAGACGTTGAGCAAAGCCAAGCAAACAAGTTTTCAAGGCGAACCCTCCTGGGCTCACAGGGTTTGGCTTTGTGGCAGCTGATTTCTAGCTACCCTGCCTGTAGTTAGGCCAATGTACCACCAGGTGGGTGAGGAAGCTCAGCCTGCCTCTGGACTTCAGGTTGTCCTCCCTCAGGGACAGAAGTTACCACGGTTGGCTGTTTTGCAATTCTTCCCCCGCCTCCTCCCCACAGACGCAAGCTGGCAAACACACACAAGTGGACTAGGTGGTTCTGTGTGCTCCAAGTTTAAAAATTAACTAGCCTGGGCATGTAGCACTGCAGTTGAACATTTGCCTAGCATGCACAGAGCCCTGGGCTCCATCCTCAGCACCACAAATGAAACAGAATAAAAGGGGCTGGAGAGGTGGCTCAGGGTTTAAGAGCACTGGCTGCTCTTCCAGAGGACTCGGGTTCAATGCCCAGCCCCCACCTGGTGGCTCATAATGGTCTGTGACTCCATTTCCAGAGGATCCAATGCTCTCTTCTGGCCTCTGTAGCCACCAGGCACACAAGTGGTGCACAGACATACATACATCCATACACATTAAGTGATAATTTAAATAAATAAATAAAGTTAAAAAAAAAGTAGCCGGGCAGTGGTGGCACACGCCTGTAATCCCAGCACTCGGGAGGCAGAGGCAGGTGAATCTCTGTGAGTTCGAGGCCAGCCTGGTCTACAGAGCTAGTCCAGGATAGGTTCCAAAGCTACACAGAGAAACCCTGTCTTGGAAAAAAAAAAAAAGAAGAAGAAGAAGTAGCTACATCAGGCTTGGAGACTGTCTCTTGATTCTTAACTGTCTCCAGTCCTGGTTACCACCCAGCAAGGTCCTCGTCCTGCCCTGTGGGTCTCCATTGTACTTTTGACACTTGATAGAATGGACAAAGGTGAGTAAAGGGTTTTATTCTCATCAACATCTTGATGCGCAGTTAAGAGCACTGGCTGCTCTGCAGAGGACTGGAGGTTGATTCCCAGCACCCACAAGGTGGCTCATGGCCATCTGTGAGTGACTCCAGTTGTAGGGGACCTGAGGCCCTTTTTTTGACCTCCTTGGGCACTAGGCATGTATGCACAGACATACAGGCAGGGAAAACAACTGCTTCCACAGATTTGACTTTCACTTGGAGGAGAATGCTCATGAAGTCATTGCTTTCCTTATTTGTAGGCTAGGTTTTTTTTCCAGTGCTGAAACGAACCCCAAGTCCTCAGGCATGTTAAGCAGTATCTCTGCTACGGGACAAGGGGCCCAAACCCCTTGGCTGCTTTGGAAAATGTATGGATTCATGCAGTTCTAAAACAAATGTGGGCGGGGAGATGCCGTCTCCCGTCCTTGCTGCCCTGCTGTCTAGGTTCTCAAAACCCCACAGAAACCACTGGTCTCAGCTTCCTGTGATTCTGTCCTTCCAGAATGGCCTTACAGTTATACAAATAGATTTGAATATGCATTTTTGCCTCCTTATCCCTCAAAAATAAGCATATTATATGCAATATTCTGTACCTTACTTTTCTCAGTCAGGTCTTCAAGGACTTTCTAAATAGTATAGATAACTTTCACTTTATTTTTTAGCACAATGTAGTATTCCATTGTTGGTCTGGGTTTTTTTGAAGTTTTGATTTTTTTCCAAATTTTGGCCGTTACGTCATTCTTAGCAAGTAAACCAGTATAAACATCAGTTTGCCTCATTCAAGTAAATCTATAACGTAACTTCTGAAAAGTGGAATTCCTGGTAATATGAATTTGGCAAAGGGCATCTGCTCTCACAGACAATAAGATATGAGATGGCTTACAGGATAAGAGAATACAAGCGGACAAGTGGAAACAGCAAAGAACTCAGAAGCCAACCCAGGCACACCTGTGAACTGCTGCACAGATTCGAGGCATCAAAAATCAAAGAAGTCAAGCTGGTTGTGGTGCACACCTTCCATCTCAGCACTCGGGAGGCAGAGGCAGGCAGGTCTCTGAGTTCGAGGCCAGCCTGGTCTACAGAGTGAGTTCCAGGACAGCCAGGGCTGCACAGAGAAACCCTGTCTCAAAAAAAACAAAAATAACTATAACAACAATATAAAGATGAAGTGAGAGCTCTTGAGGCTGAGGTGGAAGCCAGCCTGGGCTACACAGGGAGTTTCTGTCTGAAGAACAAAACGAAAAGCATTTATGGGGGTGATGGACAGAAGCAAGTGTGTGAGCGTTGGAAGCAGTGGACCAGATGTGTGTGTGTGTGTGTGTGTGTGTGTGTGTGTGTGTGTGTGTGTCTGCTAATGTGTGTACAGCAGCATAGTGAGATCTTTAAAATACACAGTTGAAGCCAGACCTGAAGGTCCAGTGCCAGCTCTTGCGACCAAGGCGGGATTGCTGCCATGTAAAACCAGACTGGTCTGTACAGTGAGTGCCAGGCCCAGGGCCACACAGTGAGACCTCAAGCAAGCAAACACACACAAAGAATATATATATAAATATATATATTTATATATATATATTTATATATATATATGTACATGTGCACACACGCATACACATAATTGATTGGCAAAAGAAAAGACTGAAGTCGATAGCACAATGCCTTTTTATTTAAGTTTAGAATGCATACATATTCAAAACAACGTTACATCCTTCACAAGGATACGCATATATTTCAGGACATGGAGCAGCTCATTAGAGTGTTGTGGGGTGTGGGGAAACAGGAGACATGTAGACTGAAATGGAACTGGGGAAGGAACTGGAAAATAATGTCTGAGAGAGGCCTTGTCACCTTACGTAATAGAAGGATACCGTATGACCTCCTGATTCACCTGACGCTGGTGTGGAGGTGGGGATGGGGAGGAATCCAGACCACAGGGCTTGAGTCTTGACTCAGTCACTCTTGGGCTCATCATGATCTGGCAGGAAACAGAACAGGAGGCATGCCACGTCCTTGCCTTGCTGAGGTGGTTGCTTGTGAGCCACCAGGATCATGCAGGTCCAGGGCCTGGCCAGGGCTCCTGTTAGACAGAGTCGCAGCAGCTGGGCAAGGTGGCACACAAGGCCACAGTCTTGGTGATCTTGGCACTCGGAAGGTTGAGGCTGGAGGATCAAGAGTTCAAAGTCATCCTCAGCTTCCTAGGGAGAATTTGAAGCCAGGCTAGGCTACAGGAGAGTTGAGACGTTGGATAGATAGATAGATAGATAGATAGATAGATAGATAGATAGATGATAGATAGAAAGATAGAGAGATAGATAGATAGATGATAGATAGATAGCATGTCAGTGGCAGAACATCCTATCTTCAGGCTTACACTGCTCTGCACTGCTCAGTGTCACTGGCTCTTCAGTCCCTGGGTCTCCTCCTCCAGGAGCCACAGCTCGAAGGGGAAACCCAGGGTTACATATATGTATTTGTATATTTCTCTAGTTTGTATATTTCTCTAGTTTGTATATTTCTCTAGTTTATTTGCATTAGCAAAGAGCTCTCCATCCTGCATTTACTGGCTGCTCCCTTTCGATCAATACTCTAGTTAGATCTTTTGAGAAACGAAATTTACATTCACGCCCCCACAGTTCCCTTAGTAACAATCTCTTGCCATCGGACCTGCCTGAGGTGGCAATGGCCTTTGGGAGCACCGGTGTGGAGAATGACCTCACCTTGCTAGAAGCTGATTTCTGATGTAGCCAGTATCTTTAAAAAAAAAATTTTTTTTAACTACATTTAAGCAGACTTAACAAGGTCTTAAAATAGACACAAAGTGGTTTTACCCCACAAGGGGATTCTTAAAATATGAAAGTACTGTTTTTAAGTATAGTCAGTACTTCAGAACACGAATTTACATTGCAAACAATTTCTATGCTAATTACAAAGTATTCTTTCCCAACCAGTAGGTAATAGTTTGTGTTTCTGTTTATACCTGATATGAATACAATTAATTCTTTCTTCTTTTCTTTTTAACTAATGTTCACTCATTCAATATGGCCTTTCCTACTGGCCTGGTGGTGCACAGCCTGAAGGAGAAGGCAGGGAGAACAAGAGTTCAAGGCCAGCCTCATCTGCGTAGTGAGTTCAAGACCAGTCTAAAAATGACAAAAGAAAGAAAGAAAGAAAGAAAGAAAGAAAGAAAGAAAGAAAGAAAGAAAGAAAGAGAGAGAGGGAGGGAGGGAGGGAGGGAGGGAGGGAGGAAGGAAGGAAGGAAGAAAAATAAAGAGACACTTTGCACCGTGCTTCCAGATTCACATTTTTTTTTTTAATTTCAGGTGTAAATTGGAGAATTTGAGGGAAAAGACATAAAAACAGACTTAATACAGTTATCTTGAAACAGGGATTGTGACTCTCAGCACCTTCAATAGGTTTTTCAAACATTTTAAACTCTCACAACTGAAGCTCCCCGGGCTTCCTTGCTTTGAAGCCCCAAGCTGCCCTCCAACACAGCCTTCCCTTTCAGGCTCCCTGCCTCCGGCCTCACCTCACTTTCTATTTTTTGAGACAAGATGGTAACTGTAGCTCTATGTGGTTTACACTGGCCTCAAACCTGTGAGCTCGCTGATCCTTTGCCTCAGCCTCCTGAGATCTGGGACCAGAGGCAGGTCCATTCCCGGCTAAATTCCTCGCTCCATCGAATCAACACACTTTTCCCACCAATGGATAACTTGCTCCAGGCAGAAACCTTCACGCCCTCACCCCTCCTATCTCCCACCCCACCCCACCCCCACCCCTCCTTCTCCCTCCTGTCCCCTTTATGGTCACATTATTGGAAAAGTGTCTGTCTGCTCACTCCCACTCACTCCTCAGCCTACTGCCTTCTGATTTTGCCATGGAAACTGATCTCTTGGAGGTTACCACTGGCCTCCTTGTTACTAAATCTAGCGGACCCTTCTCATTCCTTCCTTATTTAACACCACTGACCACGCCTGCCCCTGGCGGTCCCTCCACTCACCGCTGTGCCCATCTGCCCGGTGCAGGGGTTCCAGCACCTCTCGTCTTCTGCACAACCTCCCTGTGTCCTCCCAACGGGATGTGGTGTTAATGCGTAGAGAGGACCCCCAAATCTGTGTTTCTGTTTGTTAAGACAGGGTCTCAAGTAGCTCAAGCTGGCCTCAGATGCACTCTGTAACGGAGGATTACCTTGAACTCCAGATGTTCTAACTCTAGCCCTGGGGTGCTGAGAGACAAGCATGCACTACCGTGCCTCATCTGTTCAGTGCTGGGGACTGAACTCGGGGCTTTATGTCTGCTGGGTAAGCACTACAGCAATGGAGCTACATCCTCAGCTCCCGAAATTTGTGTCATGACCCCTCTCTCTCCCGAGCTTGGGGTTTCCAGACTTCGTCCCTTCTGCACAGTTTCTTGGTACAATCATGTCTGACACAGATCTCCCCCAATCTGTTATAGCCCCTACCCGAGAGTGGCCTGCTCAACAAACATACAACCTACATTCACAGTTTCCTGTTCCCTCCCTCCAGCTCCCCGTGCCAGTCAGCTGAACACGAAAGCTCGTCCACCTGCCTTCCAAGACCTTCTCCACCTCTCCTCAGTTCCCAGAGCTCTTGCCAAGGCCGTTGGGTCCTGTTCCTGTTCACCTCACCCGGCCTGGCCCACCCAGCTGGAAACGACCCCTCGGCTACAAATGCCAGCCACTGTCCCACTCAGACCCACAAATGTAGGAACACCTTGCTAATAGGCCCTTGACCAGCCCCTTGGGCCCCAGCTCCCTCCACAGGCGCCCTCCCTCCCACCATCCAGCCCTCTGAGTTTCTTTTCCACCCTTTGTTCCTTTTGCCTCCAGGCCTCTGTACACACTGTCCTCTCTGCCTGGGACATGCTTAGCCTGGCTAACTGGCACTCATCAGTAGATGTGGGTGGCGTGATGGAGCAGGCCTTGAAGGGTGGCTCTGTTTCCGAGCTACATGACTTTAAGTTTGTCAGCTAACTTCTCAGGGTTTCCTCCGTAGAGAAGGGCATAACAAGACCTACCAGGCCTAATGGGTATTGATTTCTTTCAACTATTTAACCTACCTCTACCCATCTGAATTCTATCCCTTCCTCCTTATGCATGTTTGGATGGCAGTGATCTCTAGAAACCTCACACTCAGCACATCATGGCACAGCCCACCCCCACAGGCGGCTGGATCATCAGTCCCTCCCTGTCTTTTAAACTAAGCTCTGGAGTCCAGAGAGACAGGGTGCTGGACAGCAGAGAGGGCAGGTCTGAGAAGAAGCTGAAGCAGACGCATGCAGGAAGTGAGGCCCAGAGAGGAAGAGGCTGCCACGAGAGAGACTCTCTTCAGCATTTGACATCCTTGTTCAATGACTGACTGAAGCCAGCTGCACTGAACTGTGAGAAAGTCCTGCATTTCTAGACTAGACAGGGAGGAGGAAGGGGGTTCCCTGGAATTCAGTGAAGTCCTAAGTGACTTACATATCTTGTAAAACAACCGTGGCTGAGGCTAGGGATGTGGCTCATTTGGTAGCCTGCAAAGCTCACACAAAGCCCCAGGATCACATAAAACCAGGTGTGGTGGGTGGGACATGCCTTCCATCCTAACACTTTGGAGGTAGAGGCAGGGAGATCTGGAGTTCTAGGTCATCCTTGGCTACATAGTGAGTATGAGGCAAGCCTGGACTTCCAGAGACCTTGCCTCAAAAGCAAGCGATCAAAGAAGATGCACTGTGAAGATGAAATGAGCTTGGCATGGTGACTCATGCCTATGACCATAGCTTCTGAGAAGCAGAGGGGGGACCATTGCCACAGAGCTGAAGGCAATTGAAGGTCCTCTACGTAGTGAGGACCGGGCCCTCCGGGGATACAGGATGAGACCATGTCGCAAGAAAATAAAAGTTAAAAAATTTAAAGAAAACCGGGCGGTGCTGAAGCACGCCTTTAATCCCAGCACTCGGGAGGCAGAGCCAGGCGGATCTCTGTGAGTTTAAGGCCAGCCTGGTCTACAGAGTGAGTTCCAGGACAGGCTCCAAAGTTACACAGAGAAACCCTGTCTCGAAAAACAAAAAACAAAAAACAAAAAAAAAAAATTAAGAAAACTAGAAATGAGGTGTTTACATACGTAGAAGTAGCAATAATGGCGTTATGTACTGAATGGATTCACGCAGCGTGGGCTGAGGCGAAGAAGTACAACTGTGTTAGAAATAAGGCCCAGTGCGGAGCACCATTGCACACTGTGAGTGCATTCTCTCCTTCCCTTTATTCTCCTCCCTCTCCCTTCGTTCACGGGTCACACACCTTGTTCCTCTCCTCATCTTCCTCTGCTTCCCGGCTTGCTTTCAAATTCCTTTCTTTCCCCCCTTCCTTTTTAGTTTTTTTCAGACACTATATTTTGATTATGTTTTCTCCTCCCATAACTCCTCCCAGGTCCACCCCACCTCCTACCCACCCAATTTTATATTCTTTCTCTCTCCAAAATAAAACCCCTGAACAAACAAACAAAACCCCCCACAAAAATGAAAATCAAAACAAAAGAACCAATGAGATTTTTTTAAATGTCCCAAACAAATCAAAATGAAGCAAAATGACACCCCCCCCCCCACACACACACACAAAGACAAAATGGAGTTAGTTTGTATTGGGCCAACTACTCCTGAGCACGGGGTCTGCCCTGGAGTGTGGGTGATGTACCCAGTGACACTCCACTGGAGAAAACTGGTTTTTCCTCGGCCAGAGAGTATCAGTTGCAAACAGCTTCTTGGTTCAGGGTGGGTCACTTTCCCCTCTCAGGTCTGGGACCCTGTCTGGCTTGGACACATGCTGGTCTTACAGATGCTTCCGCAGGCTCTGAGTTTATGTGTGTGTCAGTCCTGCTGTATTTGGGAGACACTGTATCTTTGGACTCATCCAGCACCTCTGGATCTTACAATCTTTTCCCAAATGGATCCCTGAGCCTTGGGGGGAGGGGTTTGATGGAGACATCCCACTCAGGATCGAGTCCTCCAAAGTCTGTCTGTCCTTCTCTGAACATCGTCCACTTGTGGGAATACTTGTTCTCCAGCTGGTGGCACTGCTTGGGAAGGATCAGGAGGTGTGGCCTTGCTAGAGGGATGGGCTGTCATTCCCAGTTAGTTCCTCTCTGCCTCGTGCTTGTGGGTCAATATGTAAGCTCAGCTACTGCTCCAGCACCATGTCTGCCTGCCTGCCTGCAGCCACGCTCCCCACACGACGCTCACAGGCTTAGCCCTCTGAGACCATAAGCCCCCAAACTAAACACTGTTTTCCTTTTCTAAATTGCTTTGATCATGGTGTTTTATCACAGCATTAGAAAAGTGACTGAGACATGGGTCTCTGTGTTAATTGCCATCGACCACAAGAAGAAGCTGCTCTGATGAGGACTGGGTGAATCTCTGATCTATGAGGATAGCATATGAGGAGTCATTGTATTGCTATGTTCCTTTATCAGAACAATAGCAGCAGGCTTTCTCCCAGGCCTATGACCTATCTAGTCTCATGGGGTGGGCCTCAAATACAATCAAAAAGTGGTTGGTTACTCCCCTAACATTTGTACCAGTCCACACTGCAGGCACCTGAGTGATTCTTCTTGCCTCAAGAACTACAGGTATGCACCATTCTGTCTTACCTAACAAGATCTTCTGTAGCCCAGGATGGCCTTGAACTCCCTATATAGCCAAGGGTGGTTTTGAACTCCTAATCCTACCGTCTCCACTTTATAAGTGCTGAGATTACAGGAGTGAGCCATCATGCTCTGCCCCAGCTGTTTGCTTTTTTTTTTTTTTTTTTTTTTTTTTGGTTTTTTCGAGACAGGGTTTCTCTGTGTAGCTTTGCGCCTTTCCTGGGACTCACTTGGTAGCCCAGGCTGGCCTCGAACTCACAGAGATCCGCCTGGCTCTGCCTCCCGAGTGCTGGGATTAAAGGCGTGCGCCACCACCGCCCGGCTAGCTGTTTGCTTTTTATTGAAAAGGAGAAGTATTGGATTTTGAAAACGAGGGAGGAAATTGCACATGCTCCATCCTACTAAATGGAAGTCATTTCTTACATTGTATATGAATTGCACATACTTACCACTGTGGTGCACAGTCCATTTTGTGTCTGGTATTTCTCAGTATCTCATAAATATTTAAATATTTCTAAAGCGTTTGTAATCATTTTAATGATATTATAATATTTAACAGTTTATTATGTAGTTTATAAATTCATATATATATGCATGTATATGTACACACATATTTCTTTTTTTCTGGCATAATCGTGCTTTGTGGGTAAGGCTATTTTAAATTCAATTTTGGTTGGGCTGGTTTTTTTTTGTTGTTTTTTGTTGTCGTTGGTGGTGGGGTTTTTTGTTTGTTTGTTTTTGGTTTTCCATTTGTTTTTCTGAGACATGGTATCTCTGGATAGCTCTGGCTGTCCTGGAACTTGCTCTATAGACCAGGCTGGCCTCGAAAGCAATAATCCACCTCCCCTGCTGGGATTAAAGATGTGTGCTAACACACCCGGATAGTTTTTTTTTTTAATCACAAAAGCAGGATATACTCATATTTGGAAATGACAGTATTGCTGGGCATGGTGGCGCACACCTTTGATCCTAGTACTCGGGAGGCAGATGTAGGTCAATTACTGTGAGTTCAAGGCTAGTCTGGTCTACATAGCAAGTTTCAGTCCAGCCTGGTCTATGTAGTGACGCCCTGTTCCCCCCCAAAAAAAAGAAAGAAAGAAAGAAAAAAGAAAAAGAAAGAAAGGAAGAAAGAAAGAAAATGTTGATGATATAGTCAAGAAGAAATTATTTATAATATTTCACTGAACAGAGAGAGCTTGTAAACATTTTGCTGTATGTCTTTACAGCTCTTTTATGTATAATTTTAGATTATACTGTACATATTTTATAACGTGTTTTTCCCAACCCTAATTATATATCACAAACATACTTTCATGTCATTGCTTTTGAGTGTGTGTGCTCTTGAGGTTGCACTCTGAGTCTTATGGATGGTAAGTATGAACTCTACCACTGAGCTCTACCCCAGCCCCTGTTAAATACTTTTCTACAGGCCTTTGTTGGGAGGGGCGTTATACCTTATAGGAACAGTTCTCTCCCTGTGAACATTGACTTGTCTACAGCTTTGGGAGCACATCTGCTCACAGTATTTCTTCGGGGTGAATTCCCCAAAGTTGCAGGGCCAAGAAGCAAGAGGAGGGGCTGGAGCGATAGCCCAGAGGTTGGGAGCACTGGCTGCTCCTCCAGAGGACCTGGGTTCAAGCCAAGCATCCACCTGGTGGCTCACAGTTGTCTGTAGCTCCTACTCCAGGGGTTCTGACACCGGCAGCCTCTACAGGCACCTGCACTACACTCATGCACATCTATCCATATGCAGGCATGCACACCTACATGCAATTTAAAATCATAAATAAAAATCTTAAAAAGCATGTGGGGAGCCTTGGGAACAATTGTTAGGTGTGAAATTAAGAGGTCCAAATTTTATGAAATTTGTAGAGATTCCTGCTGTATTGCAGCTCTGCTCCTCCTGAGAACGGAAGGAAGGAAGGAAGGGAGGGAGGGAGGGAGGGAGGGAGGGAGGGAGGGAGGGAGCAAGGAAGGAGGAAGGAAGGAAGGGAGGAAGAGAAGGGTCAGGGAACGGCCTTGCTTTCAGGAGCGGAATTTTAACAGGAGGAGATGGGCTGTTTTTTTTTGTCCTCTTAGACAAGTGGTTCTCAACCTGTGGTTCACGACCCCCTTGGGGCTCAAACAACCCTTTTACAGGGGTCGCATATTAGATATTCTGCATAACAGATATTTATATTACAAGTCATAACAGTAGCAAAATTGCAGTTATGAAGTAGCACAAAATAGTTTTATGGTTGGGGGTCACCACAACATGTACTAAAGGGTCACAGTGTTAGGAAGGTTGAGAACCACTGACGTAGACTGTCCTCTGAATGGAGAATTAGATGACATGCACCTGTTCTGGAGACCAGCTCCTGGTGTCCCCCCCACCTCCCCGCTTCACCTTGCTTCCATGCGGTCCCCAGCGTTTCTAGGCCATGGCACACTTCAAAGGACGATGCTTCTGTTTTACTGGCTGCATGACTCCGGAAGTCACTTGTGCGTCTGAGGCCTCAGTTTGCCCATCTGTCCCACAAAGCCAAGTGTACACGCTCTGCGGACACACCCTCGTCTTCTAGGGGAAGAGGGGCAGCAGATTAAGTCTGTCTGAAACCCTGCTCCAAGCCCACCAGGAGGCAAGGGCGTTCAGCACCAGCCCTGTCTTTGAAATGAGGAGAGAAGGTGGCAGAGAAAGCCAGGTGTGGGGCACTTACCTGCAATCCCAGCACTCAGGAGATGGAGACTGAAGAGTAAGAGTTCAAGGCCTTACTTAGCTACGTAGTGAGCTAGAGGCCAGCCTGGGCTACGGGAGACCCCTTGTCAAGAAAAGCAAAATGGAGGAGAAGGAGGAGGAGGGGAAGGAGGAGGGGGGGCTGGAGGAGAAAAGAAATGGTGGCAGAGAAGTTTGAATCAAGGGATTTTGCTCCCTGAGTCACGGCTGCTCACTTCGGGACCCACTGAGCACGGGGCAGCAGGTGGGGTGCGTGGGAACCTCCACAGCCAGGCGGCCCCCAGTGGCTGGCTGCATTCTGGAGCTGTGAGAGCTAGCCCCTATTGTAGTGTCTGGAACAGCAGTGGTGGGATTCTTTGGATTTCATCAACAAGCCCTTTCTCCCCCAGAGCGAGGCAGCCTCTGCAGGTTCCCATGACAACAGCACGCCTGGGAAGGACCAGCTTGGGGAAAAACCAGATTTTACTGTAAGGAAAAAACCTGGCCTGAAGCCACAGGCAGGGCAAGCTGGGACAGGGGCTGTGCAGCAGGACTGGGTCCTGGGATAAGGACCGGAGAAGTGTGAACACTGGTTCTGTGCAAGGTGCTCTGGCCCCCTAGAGAACACTAACCGTGCTGTGGATACTACCCACGTGAGCCTCACGACAATCCTGTGGGGTTGGTTCCTCTGTTACTCCTGCCTTATGGGTGGGAAGACCGAGGTATTGTAAAGTTTAAAACTGGTAGCCTGACTTCAGGACTAGCATTCTTGGCCTCTCAGAAGGCACAACTGTCATTTCTACAGTCTCTGGCAACTGATAAAGGACAATTTCCTTCTATCCTCACATACATTTTGCTAAAATAAAAATCACTATTTCACCAAGCATGGTGGTGCACTCCTTTAGTCCCAGCACTTGGAAGGTAGAAGCAGCAGATCTCTGAGTTCAAGGCCAACCATGGCTACAGTGAGACCCTGCCTCGAAAGAAAAAAATATAGAAATTATATCTATATTTCAGATTAGGAGCTTAAATGATGGGCCCCAAATTGCATAGCTCACAAATTATAGATCTGGGGTTTGAACCATGTCTGTCTACATCCAGAGGCCATGGTCCTCCTCTACCATGTTCCCTAAAAATATTTCTTCACTTTTACACTTTCCCATGAATATATTAACCCATAAGTCTGGGCAGAAACCACAACTGACAGAGATAGTTCTCGGGGCATGAGCAGGTATAGTTCTGGACCTTAATCTCTGTGCCAATTCTTTCCAACCCATACGCACTAGTAGTTTGCACACGTTTGTACACACATGTTCCCACAGGCGTAAATGCAGGCCCTGGCAGGCTGACACTGTCCCAGCCAGCCAGGGGCGGATCTACCTACCCCACATAGGCGGGCAGGTGTGCCTGCCCACGCCTGCCTGCTTGCTCCACCTGGGAGAGGCTATTCCCAGCCCTGACTCCCCACCCCAACTCATTCTGTGTAATCAGGCTGGGACTTCCCAGGGGAGGGGAAACTTCCGGAGGTGTGTGAAGCCACTTGAACTTTTTGGCTGCTTCTTTCCAAACAGAGCGAGCATTCTAAATATCAGAGTTAGAGGCCGAGGTTACTTGGGTTGTCATCCTCAAAGGACATTTCCCGTACTGTTCTACCAGTATTCAGTGTGTTTTATTACTTGTACTTTGATTTTACTAGTGTGGGGTTGGGGCCCTGTGACTTTTCAGGGTCCCCGACTCCTATGCCCAAACCGTCTATTGCGTCTCCAGCAGATTAGCGAATTAAGTCCTTCAGTCGGATGGTGACGTTTCTGGAAGGTAGTCACGCTGTGGGGTTGAGCCTCTTGGCATCACCCTAGAAGGCAGGAAGTTAAGACAACTGCTTATGTTTTGTTTTCCTCCTGGGGCGGGTTGAGGATAGAAACCAAGGGCCCTTGCACGCTAGACAAGCTCTTTTCTCCGGAGCTGTGTTCCCAGTGATCTAAAGAGACCTCTACAGAAGAGTGGAGAGGGCAGGCGAAGGGAGGTGGGGGCTGGCAGAGAGGAGGAAGGGAGGTCAGAGTGCGGGACTAAGGCCAAATCCCCTGGCTCTCCTGAGTCCTGGGCCTCCGAGCCAGCTCCCCGGCGGCCCAGCCCAGCCGGAGCTGGGCCTGTAGTAAGAGCAGGCTGGAGTGGCGGGTATGCATGCGGGCGGGCGGGCGGGCGGGCGGGATGACGGCGGCGCAGCACTCAGTCTGCGAAGTCCAGACTTCTGTCTCTCCCACCCCCTGGGAATTTCATAAATAAACCCCTGGACCTGTTCCAAGAAGAATTTCAAGGCTTCTCGGCGTGTGGTGTGTTTCCAGAAACACAACAATTTTACATGGTGCCTGGTGTGCAGAGTCCTAAGTGACTGGTGGGGAGGAGCGGCGGCTGGGCGTGCCAAAGAGGAGGTGGGCCTGTCGGGTCGGACCGGGTCGAGTTGGGCCTGAGTGGGCTGGTGAAGTCAAGGGTGCGGAGCGATTTGCGCCCGAACTTTGCAGCTGGCGGTGGTAACCTGGCTTCCCAGACACCCTGCCTGCCCCGGGCTCAGATTGCCCAGCCTCCCCTCCCCCAACCCGCAGCTTTGGCAGGGTTCTCCACCAGGTTTTTGAAAAGTGATGGGGTCCTAAAATAGTATAAAGTCTCTCTCTCTCTCTCTCTCTCTCTCTCTCTCTCTCTCTCTCTCTCTCTCTCTCTCTCTCTCTCTCTCTCTCTCTCTCTCTCTCTCTCTCTCTCCCCACAGAATGATGATCAGAAAGAGGGAGAGTGAGGAGTAGAGAGGACTCCAGGATGATGATGATGGGGGGTGGGGGTAGGGGGTATGAACCATGAGAAAGAGAAAACAGGAAATAGCCTGTGTCTGCCGTATGTGTCAACGAGACAGGGCCAATCGTCATGTATCCGAGAGGGTAGCTGGGATCATGACACCAAAGTTTGGCTAGAGGACCTAGTTTTCTCACCTGGGTTATGAGCTGAAAAGCCTACTCATTCCCAGGACCTAGGCCCAAGGCCCGTCTCACACACTTTCGGTGTGTACGCAAGGAGGAAAAAAATGACAGCCTGCACGTGGATCACTAGACTACGAAATGGCAGTGATAAGGGAAATGGCTTCGAATGACAAAGCTGATAATAAATGTCACCACAAAGCTCGGAGAGCATCAGCCAACGAGACCAGAACCATGGGGAGAGAGGAGGCAATGGCTGCTGCCCTGGTCAGGGTGTGAGGGACCTGGAGAAGACACACACACACACACACACACACACACACACACACACACACACACACACACGCAGAGGAGGAGTCAGTCCTGAGCTGCTAGAATTATGGGAGCTGGTGGGCCTGCTGGGTCACAGGCCTCACGGATAAAGACATTGAAATGAGGAGACATGGAAATCTCAGAGGACCTCGCTAGGAAAGAAACCACCCTACTGGGGGGTGAGGTTGGAGGGGGTGTGTACGCAGACACGCCCATGAGCACGCCCAGGGAGCCTCCCTTTCTTGTCTGCTTCCCCTTCAGCCTTTGCTCGCTCTGCTTTCCCAGCTCAGCCTGGCCCAGCGTGGCTTCCAGGCACCTGCCACCATCCAAGTCACTCAGTCTTCTTGCCTTCTTAGTTCAGACACTCACAGGCTCAGCCAGTCTCTACGCTGCATTTCCTTGGGCCCCGATCGCCAGCCCTGGTACCATCAGCGGTGGTCAGAAGCCTGACCTTACAACAGCCCCCACCTCTTCCCCCTGCGTGCATGCCCCTGGAGAAACAGGAATTGCTGGGGAGCATGATAGACTCTAGACCGACAGGTGAGAGGGAACCTTCGTGTGAGGGATCTTAGGGTTGTGGGAGGGTAGGGAGGAGAAACCAGGACAACAGGAAAACTGTTAGACTAGTGTGTGCTGAGTGACCTTGGGCTGGGGGCTCAGTTCCTCTTCTCTACAGGGAGCTGAATGATATCACTACTCGGTGGTTGGGAAAATGATACATGATCTGGGAAATCTCCCTAGGCAAGCTGGTATTCAGAGACTGTGTCAGAGGTCAGTCTAGATGAGTAGTAAGTTCTCATTGCGAGAGGTATTAACTGCCAATTTGGGCAAGACACTTGTCTCTACTGGGCCTCAGTTTCTCCACCCTAAAATAACAGGATGAAAGCCAGGTGTGGTGGCGCACACCTTTAGTCCCAGCACTTGGGAGGCAGAGACAGTCAAGATCCCTGAGTTTGAGGTCAGCCTGGGCTACGTAGGGAGTTCTAGGACAGACAGCAACGCAGAGAAACCTTGTCTCACCGGAAAACTAAAAAAATAAAATAACAAGATCAGACACAATGATTTAAAATTCCCTTCCAGATTTAGAACTTCGTGGTTTTGAGCAACAAAGAAGCCTGTGTGTTCTGGAGAAGCGAGCTGACAAAGTGGCATGATGGTTTCTAGAGACAAGGGTGTGCGGTAGTGTGGCCAGAGCACTGAGGAAGGGTGACCAGGAAATAAAGAGGTTGTGGTAGCAACAGGTCCACAGGACTGTGAGGCTCTGGCCTGGAATGTCATGAGGGCATGTGAACAAGGGCTCCAGGCAGACAGAAGAAACTGTGAGGTTCACAACAACAGGGGAATGGCCAGGAGAGCAATCCTGTTTGGCCACTGGGCATGCTCAGGTAGAAACTCAAGTATGAATCATCACGGCTGAGGGCACAGGGCCTGTTTACCAAAGAGGCCCTGGGGTGGAACAAGGTCAGGGTGAGAGTTGAAGACAGAAAGCCCGCCTCTAAAGTCATGTGGTAGGCCTCTGGGTGGAGAGGGAGCAAGGAGAGCCTGGAAAGGCGTATTCTTCAGGAATGCCACAGCTCAGCTCCTTCCTGCGGGACCACTTGTGCACAAACTTACGCTGTGGATGCCAAGTGGGGTCTTTAGGCTCTGGGGTAAATAACAGTCCCTCTGGCGGTCTCCATCCTCAGCCACCAGGTATATCACATGCAAGTTCTCTGTATTGTCCGATGAGCCCTCCCTCTGCTCACCTCTCCATCCACCCCACATGCTCTCATCCTCCAGCTCCACCCTTTTTGGCTCTAAGGGACTCATCTGTCCCTACCTTAGGCTGATGAACACTTCCAGAAAAAAATAGTACCATTTGAAAGGGTCCCTTAGGGTTCCTCTTTATGTTTTGTGATTCTTGCTAGACTCGCGGTGCCATTTGGACATCCTTTCTGGTTTTCTGAATCCCTGGATATCCCTCTCATTTTTTTTTCCCCATGAGAGTGAATTTTTACATACCATTACCACTTTCTCCAAGCACACTCTCTATCATAAGCCATTCAGCTATATGAGCAGATTACCTCCAGATGACGGGACCTTGACTGAGAACATAAAGTCTCGTGTGCTTACACACTCTCACTCTCTGCTCACCTCCTTTCTTCTGTCTCTGAGACAGTACTCTTCTCCTCCAGGCCAAAGCTGGCCTCTGGACCTTTGCATGTGGAGTTGATGTTCTTCATGTCTTCTGGGTTCTG